CGAGCTCACAGATCCACCGATGATGCCCCTCCTCATAGACCTAGGACAAGGGGCCGCTCTCAAATTGAGGATCAAGCATAGTAGGGATGCACATTGTACTCCGCAACTCTGCGTCCTCAGCGCGAGCGGCTTGCGCCTTCAAGATGATGTTAGTGCAAAGCAGTCCAGACGTTTTGAGCATAAAGAAAACAACGGTATGACCCAGGTCCTCGGGGGGAATTCATCTACGCCGACTCCTGCTGCGCCTTCACCTGCAATTCGGCCTTGGGCCGCACCCATGTTTGCGCCTTCCTCTAATATTCTAGCACCAGTGAGCTCCGGTAGTTTTGAGGAAAGCGAGTTCCGTCGGGTTGACAACATGCGGGGGACGCCTTCTCTCTTGAATTCATTTTGTGCTATCTACATGCAAGACACTGAGGTAGGTCGGACACGTACCGCAATTAAGACGTGCAACCCAGTTTGGGCCAAGGAGGATGCTGATGGGCCGTGGGTTATCCTAAAGATACGCAGCGCAAAGAGGAGTCCTGCGCAGTTAAGGCAACTTATGATTGGTAGCGCGGAACGCATCAAGATGGAAGCAACGCTTGCAGTGCAAGTTTCACGTCAATTTGATGCACGTGATGCTGAACTTCTCCGTGCTACACTTTCACGATCAGGTGAACTGGACAGCGGCGAAACTGAACGATCAATGATGGCCACAGAAGAGAGGCAAACTCGCGCTATGGTGGAAGGCTCACTCCGTAAGCGTGAGAATTACTTACTGCATGAGCAGGAAGAAGCGCAACGATCCCTTCATCTATTGATTGGCGAGCTTACAGAGCGCGGCGTGACCTCGTTCCTGACTCGACTCACCTGGCTTGAATCTGTTTTGCCAACTGGCGGATCTTCTGGTCCGGCGGCACACGTCATGCTTGATCCAGCTTCAGGGAAGTCTCTGCTTCTTCGCCTCCTTCCGCTACAATATGCTTCCGATGTGGAACATGTGGTGTCTATCGCAGAGAATCTCCGAGATCTTCGATGCCATGGTATTATCAGAATTGTGTCAGTCCATTCCCATGAATTTACATCATTCAACTTGCACGGCACCTGCAGCCAGGTCTGGACGCTTGTTGCATTCGTTACCTCCAACATTGGCAGTCGCTGCCTCACTGATCAAATTGACGGCTGTCGGCAGGCCATTAGTGCAAGTGCAGTCCAAAACTGGGCGCACCAGATAGCAGTGGCTCTTGCAGCGTTACACCATGGCAACCTCCTGCACCAAAACATTCATCCCCATGCGATCTGCCTTGACGAGGAAGGTCGCGCTGTTCTCGATGACTTTCTTTTTATGACTGATGCACGCCCTCCCGGTCGCACGTATTCTCGTGGTCGATCTGATTATGGCGCTATCGCCCAAGAGCTTGTCGCGCCTGAGATCAATCAACAGTCGGGCGCTCTTTCACCCAAAGCAGATATCTGGGCGTTTGGGTGCTGTATTTATCGCTGGATTACAGGTGTGATGCCCCGTGTGAGTGTTCTCTCGCATCCAAAATCCCAGCAGTGGCTTGCAGAAATTCCTAGGCAATTTCGTGGGCCACTTTACCATGCTATCGGCCTTGCTCTACAGTCTCACCCACCGACCCGCGCAACCGCGAGTGACCTTGTCCGAGTCCTAGAAAGACAATGACGACAGCCAAGAAGCTGCATTCAGGGTGGAAAGCAAACGAGCTCGCTGTGCCGGTAGCCGCGCCGGCACAGAGACGGCCTGCCCGGGGTGTGCTGGCACAGTCGAATCCGGCTTGTGCCGGCTTGTGCCGGCACATTCCGGTGTGCCGGCACATCGCGCGCGGTCCGCGGAAACGCGCCTATGCAAGTTTGGAGCTATAAAAGCAGCTAGTTGGAGGCTAGTAGCGCACGCTGCGCCTTCCCTGTAATTCGCAACTCGTAGAGTGAGAATTTTGGGGAGCGTAGCGGAGCAGAAGTTTCCACTAATAGCACGGTGGTGTGTCTGTGTCCTCCGGGAGTTTAGTAAAAAACTCAGCACTCCGTCATCGAAACCAAAATCGACGCGGTCTGGACCGACGTTTCAATTGGGGAATTCCTCAGGTAAGTTATATTCTATCCGCGCCAACTCGACGCTGGTGCCGCGCGCCGCGCGTGGGACCCTCCCTGGGGGCTTTCGAAACGACTCGGAAACAATATGAGTTAATATGTATGATGGAACCAATATCGAGAGAGCGATGGAACCGTACCATGTCATGAACTTAGACTTCATGCATATTCATGAATAACGATTGGTTCCATCATAGCATTTCATACCCTACTTGTTTCCATCATAGTATATATACACCCTTATTGGTTCCAACATAGCAATTTCCCTACTTTAATTCTCCACGGTTTATGCGTAAGGAGAGTTGCGGGGCTGAACCTAAAAAGGGAATACCTCGTAGTCAGTGTAGTGAACTTGAAAAAGGGATCTACCTGAATTGAGTAGTCTCGAGATTCCCATCATCCCCGTAATTTACATTACCCTGTTCCTTCTCTATCGCGACGTCACACTATGGAGATGTCATGACGCTGAAACGCACTGTGCCATGGCATGATGTTCAAAGCGACTCCGGGCCCGGGGCCCGCCCCCTGGGCCCCGGTCGTAGCCATAACGTGCACAGGGGCGCTTCAAGCAAATCAATTCAGCGTCCGAGGGTTAGAATGTGTTCCCGCTGTGCCGGCACACGCCCAGGCCCCGGCCCCGTCGGCTTTGGGCCCGACCAAATGTGCCGGCACACCGACAAAGCGCTATTTCTGGTTGTGCCGGCACACTTCGCTTCGCGAGATCTGCCGGCACACTGTGCCGGTACAAGATACACCCAGCAGGGGGTAGACGCGCGCGGGATTTTTTTCCGGTCTCAAGCCTACCTTTAGGCCCTACTCGACCCGACTAATATCCCGGCGCGGCTAGCTTAACGCAGATAGTCCCCACCGCGCGGCTGGCGCCTCAAAACGTTTTGCTTTAAATTTCCACCCTGGCTGCATTGCGGCATAGATACGAGATACCTTCAATCGTGATGCAAGGATGCACAATATTTGAGCCAGCGAGGATATTGCATGATGGAGGATATTGCGGGTCGATGATACCAAGGTGAAAACGATAGGCGCTTATTTTATGCAGGTCCTCTATGAATTTGATACGTATGATGAACGCAATGGACGTTGGAGCTGCTGAGGATGTACTCCGTCTTTCTGTATGATCGTGGAGCGCGTCGCCTAGGGCCAGGGTCATTCTAGGGAGCTTTGATTGCGGGGAACGGGCATCTCCTCGAAGGCTTGGGCACGTGTGCAGCGATTTCCGATTGCGGCAGGACCTGGGAGTGCCCACGGCGGCGCCAGTAGCCGCACCGTGTGACCAGAGTCGCTCGCGACGTCAAAAAGAATGGTGAGAGCGTCTATTCCTAGGACCACGTATCCTCATACATTTGGACATCAGAGGCGTGATCTTCAAGTTGGACAGAGTCGGAATCGAGGTCGGGGGTCGCCTTCCGGCTGCTTGTGTAATCGCGACGAAACTATTGTGGGCCCGGGCGCCCTAAACTTGCCCCACTCGGCCCCACTTCGCACGCAACGCCACCCCGCGGACCCCGCGGGCTCCCCGGGCAAATGTGGGCGCGTGCATGGTGCGCTTGTGCCCCAGTGGCTTGATTGAGGGAGCGACTAGTGTCCCTGCTTCGCAGCCTGAGGAGGTATAGTAGTAAACTTCAGCTAGTCGGGCTTGGAACCACGCGCATCTTTTATTTCCTTTGCGAAATCTCTGATCTTGCCTGGGACTGCAAGGCCGGGCGGGTCTTCAAGTTGCCACGCTCGGGCCTTCCTGTGACATGAATACCAAGCTGGCTCCATATGTTTGCGCCAGAGCACTCGGAAACATTCTTACCACACCAACAAACCCAACCCAAGCGCCTTGCTTTACTACGAGAATCTCTAGGCCGTCGGTTTGGATATCGGCCGCGCTGAGCTTGCGGCGCCCGCCGCGGGTGTACTAAAAAGTTATTCGGCTACCCGACATGGGATGAGGTGCCCGGCCCTGCTAGAGAGTGCCCGGTCTGCTAGAGGGAGGCAGATTCATTTATGGCCTGGGATTTTTTGAAGAGATCCCACACGTTGCCGGCCAGGGGACATCCACCGAACGTAGAATCAGATTGAGAACTCAAATCGGACTGACACAACCTTGGGTGCATATGCAATATTGAAGGGCACCTAATCCGTGTAGACCCCGAAGACCATCACGTTAGCCCACAACGAAGAATTTGTGAAGTTGACGGATGTGTAGTTATCGAATGTTATATCCCAGAGACACCTCGAAGCAACACTGACACCCTGATCTTTCATCTGTCCTATTGTGACCTGCACGATGATCTTATATCGCGGCACGGTCAGGCACTTGATCTCGGACTTTATCGTGTTCCCAATCGAAATAATCCAGTCCTTTGCGCTGTCTTCGAAGTACTCCTTATTGTCCAATTCACCGACCAATACACGCTCGCAAATCCGTTTTGCTTCTGAAGGGTAAAACCTTTCTTGCTCGGCCGGAATCATGGAATAAGTAGGCAACACGACCTCTATTACTTGCTGTCCTGGTCGGGGGCCCTCCTCCTGAATCATGACGGTCGGTAACGCCTGGCGCTTCAGAAGGGTACAAGATATATAATATCGTAATCAATAGGAGCAAGGTAATGTAAATAATTATTGTGTATTTAGCGTCAATTATGGGGGATGATGGAGGCTCCCTGGTTAAGAAAGAAGAAGGGTAGCTCCCCCGGGCCGTATCTTTAACACTCAACAAATGTTGCACTTTTCCTTCGTTGACCTTCACCTCGTACTTCAATATGCTCACTTTATAGCGCACGCTGCGCCTTCCCTGTAATTCGCAACTCGTAGAGTGAGAATTTTGGGGAGCGTAGCGGAGCAGAAGTTTCCACTAATAGCACGGTGGCGTGTCTGTGTCCTCCGGGAGTTTAGTAAAAAACTCAGCACTCCGTCATCGAAACCAAAATCGACGCGGTCTGGACCGACGTTTCAATTGGGGAATTCCTCAGGTAAGTTATATTCTATCCGCGCCAACTCGACGCTGGTGCCGCGCGCCGCGCGTGGGACCCCCCCTGGGGGCTTTCGAAACGAATCGAAACACCGTTTTCGCGCGTCAGCGCGCGCGTCTCGGCCGGCAAAGCAACCGTCACTTTTGCCCTGAAAGTCACGTTAGCCTTCACGTTGAACATCAACAACTTCGAGCCGCTCGGCGATCGCCTCGCAGAGGCCCCCCTCGCCCAGTCCGCGCACCTCCGCCCAATATGGCCATCTAACTGCTCTCCATAGCCCTCCTCCCCGTGTAAAACGAGACGGACAGTTATTGCGTGCGCGAAGCTTTAGCTGTGGTTTATCATCTCAGTAGTCGGTAATCTAGGATTCCGGCTACACCTCAGCGCCGTCTTGGCCGCCGGACCACTCGAACTGA